ATAAATAATCCTGATGGTACAATTAAATTTAAAGCAAAATGTAAATATTTTACACATTTACTTAGTGCTGCATCTACAGATGGTACTAGTCATCTAAAAAGGTATGCTAACAAACATTTACAAAATCAACAACCTGATATTCGAAGTCAAATGCAATTAGGGGCTTTATCAAGTGGTAATTTGCAAACATTTTCATATGATCCTATGCGAGCACAAAATTCTGTAGTTGATTATATGATTAAAAAAGAACAAACTTTTACTACTAGCGAATGTCCCGATTTTACCGAAATAATTCACGAAAGTTTTGCACCGCAATATCAAAGTTTTTCAAGAAATACTACTAAAAACAGGATTTTAAAGAAATTTGAGGATGTTAAAAGTGAATTATTTGACATCTGTAAAAATTTGAACGAAAGAGTTTGTTTAACATCTGATCTGTGGTCAAATAATGGTTTTGAATATCAATGTATCACTGCACATTTTATGATAATGATTGAAAATTAAATAAAAGAATTATTTCATTTAAATTAGTTGAACTTCTATATACTGGTCATTCGCTTGATATACAAATGACAAATGTATTATTTGAATGAGCTTTACAAAATAAAATATTTACAATTAGTTTAGATAATGCATCATATTATAATTAAACTGTAGCTCATTTAAAATCAACTTTACAATTACTTGTTGACGGTGATTTATTTCATGTTTGTTGTTGTGTCCATATTTTAAATTTGATTGTTCAAGAAGCTATGTATGTATACGAGACTTTTGTACTTGTAATAAAAAATGTAATTGTTACTATTATGTCTTCTAGTAATCAAATTTCGAAATATAGAAAAATTTGTTAATGAGAAAATATGCCATTTAAAAAATTAATTTTAGATGTAGATAGTATGTGGAATTCAACATAGAATATGTTAAAAATAGCTTGTAAACAAAGCAGAGCAATAGATTTATTTTTTGCAACATCAGTAGGAGAAGTACTGACTCTACAGAACTTAATTGGCGCCAAGTAACCTTGTATAAAGATTTTTTAAAATTTTTCGATACTTCAACAAAATTATTTTCTTATATATATATATATATATTCTTACTTCACCATTTGTTTGACATATACTAGCAAAAATAATTAAAATTTGTAAAATATATGGGTAATGAATATTATATAACCATTATTACTTCAATGAAAAAAAAAATTGATAAATATTTTAATCATTTGCCTCATCTATTTGGTTTAGCCATAATAATTTATCCTAGGTGTAAAGAAATTGGTTTATAAGATTTTTTAAAGCATCTTTTCACTGATCAAACACAGTTTGCCCCTATTATGCAAACATGCAATAGATTATTTGAAAAATACGGGGCAGCTACATCTGTAAATACACCTACACACACTACACTAGCAGTCTCATCTTGAGGCGGGAGATTAAATGTTTTTTCAGCAATAAAAAGTAGAAGAATATCTCAACATATAAGTGTAAGCAGTTTTGAACTACAATATTATTTGGAAAGTTCGTCAGTGAATCATTCCGATGATTTTGACATTTTAGAATGGTGGAAACAAAATGAAACTATGTGACCTATGGTGTCACAGATGGCCCATGATATACTAACCGTTCATATTTCTATAGTTGCTTTAGAAACAGCTTTTAGTGCAGGTGGACGGGTGCTGAGCGATTATCAGACCAGGCTTTCACCTGAAATAGCTGAGACACTGATGATATCCAGAGATCATATGCATGCGCTTACAAGAAGACAAAATTATAATGAAAATGAGTAGATTCAAAATGATTTGGATGACATATCCTCGGGTAACACGAAGAAAATGTTTGTCTCCTCCGATGATTGATCAACAATTTGTTTTTTACTATTTGATTTCTTTTTTTTCTTTTCTTTTTTTGGTATTAAATTATTAATGTGGAGTATAATGCAAATGATTGGTAGGCTAGTAGGTGTCAACCTAGTTGGGATGTACTTGACCTATAGTGATGCAATTGCTCTACCATCATCAGTAATCTACACCTAATTTAATTAATAATATCAATTTTTGTAATATTTTATTTTATTTTGAAATAAAAATTATTCATTCAATAAATTTTATATAAATAATTAATATTAGGAACAGGTTTTTTTAGTAACTTTTGGGCTTTTTGGTTAACATATGATGTAAAAAAAAAACTTGTATATTTGAAAAGAACTATTTAGCTTTTTACGAAAAAATATGAAAAAACAATATAAATAATTCATTTTTGTACCGGTGACAATGACGATGACGGCATTGTACCCGTGCATTGTACCCGTGACAATGACGGCAAACTAGCAAGCATCAGTCATATTTAAATTATTAGTTTTTTGTTATTATTTTTTTTTAAAATAGACTTGAACTTGAAAACATTTATAGGTTTGTAGGTTTAAAAACAATTATTAAAGTGTATAGGTTTGTAGGATAAAAATTGTAGATTTTTTTATTTTTTTAGTGACTTTTTGGCTTTTAGACTAAAATCACCACTTGCCAAAATATCACCATGAAACATTACATAACCAAACAAAATATCTCACTAATCTTAATTAAGATACTCTAGTATAATTTTTTAAAATTTTTTATTCCTAATATAAAAAATAAAAAAAAGTCCAACTAGGCCCGATCCGCGGCCCAAGCCCTGGGCCTTATTATGAGTGGGCTTAGACTTGGGCTTGAGCCCTACTTTTTGGCCCATGGGGCCGGACTACTAAAAATACGGGAGCCTGCGAAACCCGCTTGGGCCTGCCCAAGCTCGGGTCTGGATGGATCGAGTCGAGCCGGGCCATTATTACATCCCTACGCCGCAGGTAGTGTATGCAACAAATTATTTAGTAGAATAAGTTTGACTTTCTAGGCAAAAACACCATGTATGCAACAGTGGGCTAGTAGCATGCAATTATTTTTTTAAAAAAAAATATTATAAGTAAGAAATTGAATTCATGAATGCAAACAGTGTACATGTTATGCTCTCATACAAAATGTATTAACACAGAACTCATGAGTTCAAATCTATAAGCAATAAAAAATAAATCTAGTGTAATCCAGTAATCTATTTGTTCAATTTGATGAGGAATATAGCATCTATTTTAAGATTGTTGTACAAATTATACAATTAAATAAAACAAATAAATTCTTGTTTAATAAATTAAATAATAGAAAATGAAACATGATGAATAGAAATACATATGGAATATAAATATTGAAAGACAAGGAATCAAACCGAAGCCTGTATAGTACCACAGTCTCCTTAAAACAGATTCGCCGCCTTACTATGGATGCTGGAGGTACGTCAACGTCTATCTCCCAGGGTATGACGGCTTAAACCCACTAACGCAGAAGCACCTTCTGTTAGTTTTGGCGAATCGACACTGGCAGTACTTTCTCACATAGGAAGGAAAATATATGGGCAAACTGATTGACTGACTATATAACATGGAGGCAAAAAATGTTGTGTTGACAGCCAAAGAAATTGATCTCTATTTATACATTTTCAAAATTTTATCGTTAAAAGCCTTATTTTTTATTTTAAGGATGACCTTTTAGTGACTATTCTCACGATGATAAAAATTATCTTTTGTAATAAAATGTTCACTTTTAAAAATTAAAAAATTTGATTTCTAAAATTCTTATATATTGTGTCATTTCGACACTTCAAAATCTACTAAATTAATTTAAAGCATATAACTAGTATTTGTTGGTCTCGTTCTTTCCCGTTTTCATCTTTCCAGAAGATAAATCCACCGAAAAAAAAAACATTGTTTATACTACATTAATTAAGATCAAAATTAGATAAGAAGTGAGCTATTGAAGGGAGTAAATATTGGATATAATAATTATCATTTGCATATGATCAAAATTAGGTCAAACGTACCTCTTCAAGAGAGTAAATATTAGACATAAAAATAATGATCAGTTGTATTAAGAACATAGAACTTATTTTTTTTAAATATTATTTTCTCATATCTATGCCTTATTTTGTAAAAATTATTTATGTTGTTAAATTTAATCAATAATAGTGATATTGAAGAAAATGTAAAGCAGAGAGAGAAAGTAAAGACAATCGTTTCTATATTTCTCAAGAATGGTTGTTTGTTGTTATTACAATTAATCCTTGTATCTCTCTCTTATATATCATGTATGTTACAAACTAACCATAGGTAGCTTAAAGGGAAGTAACTATCAACTTTAGTATCCTAACTAGCTAACTAAACTAACTAAATCAGTTAAAATGTACACAATCTACGTAATACTAATACATCATTCTACACACTACTTGATATGTTTCTCAGATATCACCATCCAAGTAGGAAGAGTTTAACCGACTGAGGACTTGGCACCTTTCCACTGCAACCTCTTAGAATATAATGATGTCTACTTTAGATTTTAAAGAGTAGAAAATTTAGACCTTTGTCTCAGATTTGTCTCAAGAATCAATAGAGATTAAAAATGTATATTGTAAGATTCATGTATACAATACATTTGAAATATTTATTAATATTTTTTGTGTAATTTTGAACAAAATTTCTGAATTTGTAGTATTGTTATTCAAAGATTAGCATCACATCCACAATAAATTAGAATAGATTACAAACCATTCAGTCACCAAATTTCTCATGAAAGAGGGGTGCCCTCCCTAGAGAATGCCAAATAATGAATCCACAAGAAAAATGTGTTGGCCATCAAACATGACACATTTGACGATGCTAGCCGCCCACATTTGATGCCAAGCTTTGGTTGTATGGGTAAAGGCTAATCACAAGGGATTAAAAAGATATATTAACATACAGTATTTGTCTTATATATGTATATATATGTCCTCTTGTCGCTGGATCCACAAAACAAAGGTAAGGATTTAGGAGTATAAATACAAAGGTTTCACAAGCCACCTTTGATCAAACAAAAAGAACAATAAAAATAAAATAAAATCGGTGACACAGAGATCAGTGAGAGAGATAGATAGATAGAGAGAGAGAGAGATGAGGCAGATTGATGAAGAGAAAGAAAGGGTCTGCGTAACTGGTGCAGGGGGATATGTGGCATCATGGGTCGTCAAGTTTCTGCTCACAAAGGGTTACATTGTTCATGGAAGTGTTAGAGACCCCTGTTCGTATATCTTTCTTTCTCTTCTCACTTTTAAATGATTTTTTTTTTTATAATTTTTTTTTTCTTCTAAATTATGGTTTCTGTTTAATTTGTTAAAGGGTTAGAATTAGGCGTGCAATTGGGTCAGGTCCAATTCGAATTCAATTTAAAAGAATTTTAAGACTTGGACAATAAATTTTTAAATCTGGTGTTGACTTAGACATAAATTCAAATTAAATTTATGTTGTTGGACTTGGGCTAAGACCTCAACCAAAATTTGAATTGTATATACAAATTTAAATACAAATTATTAGTGGTTGGATGATATCAGAATAATCTGAACGTTTTAGATCATATATTCAGTGACTATATATGATATACATAATTAACACAACATAAAAATTATTCTTTCTCTTCAGAACGTCAAAGACCACCATAGTGACGCAATAGTTCATCCATTCTCACCTCTCTCATCTCTATCTCTTTCATCATATAAATTATTTGATTTGATTTTATTAATGAGTTTACCCCAAAAAAATATTAATAGAGCATAACTTTAACAAACCAAGCATCTGCGAAAGAAGTTAGGCCTATGCCACTTCAACCCAAACTAAAGCCCCCAAGTTGCACCTAGTTAGAATCACTGGTCATATTTTTTGTTCAAGAAATATGTCATAGATTCGTATGGTTAGAAGTGTCCAATTAATGCATGCAACTGATAATACTTGCTTGATCATTTTAACACAATTCTCTTTTGCTAGATAATATAGTTACATTTCACACACCTTTCATGCACTTTTTCTTTTCTAAATTATTACCCAAACTCATGAACTAAATACATAGCCTAACTGTTTCAGAAGAACTTGGCTTCATGGACTTCGTTTGATCATCTTCAACAGATTTTATTCTTCCTTTTGTACACAGTAATTATGCATAGATGTGATGCTATATATATGTGGCTCATATTATTATTTGGTTTTTTGATAGTTCACCAGAAGCTTTCCAATAATCTGTTCAGTTCAGGCAAATGATTGAAGTAATTAATAACTAAAATGGATTGAAGAAAGTGCATGTGGTTTTGTTTCTTCTATTTTCAGGCAATGAAGAAAAGAATGGTCATTTGAAGAAACTGGAAAACGCTGTAGAGAATCTGCGGCTCTTTAAGTCAGATTTGCTTGACTATGAATCTCTCAGTGCTGCCATTGCCGGCTGCACCGGGGTTTTCCATGTTGCCTCTCCAGTTCTATCTGGCCCTACTTTCTCTAATCCTCAGGCAAGATTATTATTATTATTATTTTGACTAGCAAATACCCTTTGCAATTTGTTTCCATTATTTGGACTTAAAAATAAATAAATAAAATTCATAACTGATTTTTGCTCTACAAATCTTAGCCCTGTAATTAATTACCCTACTAAAAACACAAGCAAATTCATTCCATATATATGCTACCCCTAATCTTGTTCGTAACTTTAATTAATTGATTAATTAACGGGGCATATGGCAGAAAGAAGTTCTTGAACCAGCAATAATAGGAACCAGGAATGTACTAAATGCATGTTTGAAGGCTAAAGTGAAGAAGGTGGTGGTTGTGTCAACTGCTGGTGCTGTTATACTCAACCCTAATTGGCCCAAGGATCACCCCATGGACGAAAACTGTTGGACTGACACCGAATTTTGCAAAAATATTGTTGTATGTATTTAATTTAATTAATTAACTAGTCATCTTGCACAATTACATATATCTTCAAATGTCTTTTTTTCTTTTTTGGCTAATTATATATATATATATATATCAGAATTGGTATTGCCTAGGAAAAACTATAGCAGAAAGTGAGGCTGTGGAGTTTGGGAGGAGAAGTGGACTCAACATTGTCACAGTTTGTCCATCCATTGTCATCGGGCCATTGCTGCAATCAACAATGAATGCTAGCAGCTTACTTCTCCTACATTATTTGAAAGGTTTCCACTCATATATATTAAATTAATTTGGCAAATTAGGCAAACATGTTAAGCAGTGATGCTAGTAATTTTATTATTTTTATTTTGTTGAATTGGTTCTAGATGGACGCGATACAATGGAAAATCCAGATTGTCCACTTGTAGACGTGCGTGATGTAGCTGAAGCGCTTCTACTAGTGTATGAAAAGCCCGAGGCAGAGGGAAGACATATATGTTCTTCATACACAATTCGATCACAGGTTTTGGTTGACAAGTTGAAGACAATGTATCCCAATTACAATTACCCCAAAAAGTAAGTTTAATTAATTTTTATGCTTGAATTCCTGGAGTACCCATATGCATAATTAATTTTAATGAGCACTCTTGTAACTAGGCAACTAATCAAATTTTATTATTATGCATGCCAATCCCGGGCATGGCAGTTTTACAGAGGTGAAGGAAGAGATAAAGTTGAGTTCAAAGAAGTTGCAGAATTTGGGTTGGAAATATAGGCCATTAGAAGAGACTATTACTGATGCTGTCAAGAATTTTGAAGAAAATGGCCTGCTGGTGCCCAAACATTAAACCATCATTCTGTTGAAACATCTTCTAATTATGTATGATTTATATATATACATATCTATTGAATTTGTCGTGAGGGAAAAATAAGAGAATTAATTAAAAGTTGAATTTAGGAGTCAAGTTATGTACGCTGTGAATTTTATACAGAAATAATCTCAAGAGAGACAAAATAATGTTGTTGTGGTATGAACTACAGTGCTTAACTCAATGACTAATGCCATAAGCCTCCGTCATCCAATATTCCAATGCCCGGTGAGGGATAATAATATGATAATAATAATAAAAGAAAAAGGATGTCAGGTTATGTCGTTTTGATTGTCGACAACTTCTCATCATCTTAATTTATTCACGATGGTATTAATAGTTAAATTTAATTTTTATCAAATTTTATTAAAAATAAATTTTAATAAAATCATTACTATATATAATTTTTTGTGACGATTTATTACATATGTCGCTACAAATTGATAATTAATGACTTTTTTTCATAATTTTTATAAATTGTCATTAAAAATTTATAATTAGTGATATTTTTCTGTAATGAATTTTTTAAAGTGTTCTTGAAAGTTAAAAATTAGTGACCTTTTTCGTGATAATTTTTTTAAACTAATGCTAAAAATTAACAATTAGTAACTTTTTTTAATTTTGCTTGATAAAAAACGCCCTTAATTCTTACAGGACCTATTAGACAATAAATTATTAAGACCTACACGTAAATCTCTCTTATTTTAATTTGTGCATGTAAATATATATGCAATTTATCACTTAGTTTTCTAATGCTCAATCAATCAATACGCATCACTGAATATTTTTCTTCAAGAAGTGGATAAATTGAAGATGTCATATGGTGTTGGAATATGAATATACGTGTATATATATATATACTAGTGGGTGGCACACACGATGTGTGTGCAATAAGTAGGAATAAGAAAAAATAATAATGAAATTAATATTATAATATGTACTTAGCTTAAGTGGTATGAGTCCTTATACTTAAACCCATGGTCATGGGTTCAAGCCTTGCCCATCTCTTTGTTTAACTTTTTTTTAAAAAATAAAAAATACTGCCACATGGCATGAGGAGAGTAAAGCTTCAAGACACCAGTAAAGCTTCAGGATACCAAAGTTTATGTTCACTTTATAATAGTATAGATAGATATATACGGTCATGCTATGGTATATATGTATTATATTATTTAAAATTCTCCTATTATCTATATTATATTATATAATGTGCACATCTTTCAAAAAAGTGAATTTTTTCAAGGTCTCTACTATTAAGATTTTATATCATAAAGGACACTCAATATTTTTATAACGTCTAAGGTTCTCCAACATCGATTTAGAAAAATTTGATGGAGAAAATTTCTCTGGCCTTTCTAGAGAAAATTCGATCTAGAGAAAATTTTACACATCTCCGATACCAAATTTTTTTGGATACGTCACAGAATTTTTTTTACATATTATTGACACTAAATTTTTCTAGACACACCACAGAGAAAATTTCTCTGGACACCAAATCACTGCCCAAATGACACGTCTCTGACACGAGAGTGATCACTTGGCGAGCGATGGGCTTATTATTGAAGCACAATAGGGCTTCGACAAGGGAAAAGACGAGGAAGTAAGGGTGAAACCTGAGGAGGTCTCGAAGGAAAGAAGGCTGAGAGATGGCATGAGAGAGCTGAGAGAGAGCGTAGGAGACATGGATTGTCGGAGATTGATGGTTGGAGATGAGATTGGAGAGGTAGAACAAGCAGATAGAACCGCCTTCTAGGGTTTGGAGATTGAGAGAGGATCAGTGGCCTTGTGAGCAGGTTGAGGATTAGTGTGGTGATGATGAGTGTGGAGTGGAGTGGTGTATGCTCTATAATATGTTAAATTTCTCTGTGATATATGGGTATTAGATCAAGGGACCTTAGATAATACAAAATAATATTGTGAGTCTCTTCCATTACTAAAAATAAGATAGGGACTTTAGACTAATTTTCTCTTCAAAAAATAAGACCTTTATATATATATATATATATATATATATTTATATTTGTATAACATACTTGTGCAAGGCTTTAAAAATACAAATCTTCTAATAAATTGTTTTATTTGGTTTGATTTTTAATTTTTTTTAAGACCCGTGTGTTATTGTGGTAAATACAAATCTTCTAACAAATTATTCTGTTTGGTTTGATTTTAAAAAAAAAAATTAGATGAATTTCGTTTGATTTAATGAATTTATTTTCATACTTTATTTAATTTTTTTCCCTTGTTAGATCCATATGCATCTAAAAAGTAAAATTAATTGACTAAACTATTAAGAAAATTCACTAAAAAGAAATGAAAAACTAACCAAGGCCGGTGTGCATTTTTGTTATGATTTCATTTATTTTTAAAGAGTTTTTTTTTATATTTTATTTTTTTACTTTTTAGATGTATCTAATTTTGATGTATCTTACAAGTAAAAAAAGAGAAATATGATCAAAATCCCTCCATAATAAAACTTTCATGCATTAAGGACAAGTACCAACCCAAAAAAAAAAAATCTTGAAAAGTCAACCGCACTTCACAATTACTAAAATATCTTTAGTAAGTAATTTAATATTTTAAATTTTAATATGACATAATTTTTTATCTAGATGTCATTTTTTAATATAATTAGTATTTTAAAAAAAAAATTCATCAAGATCTATCAAATAAGATCCATGTTGGTCATGAAACTTTTTTCAAAATAAATAAATTTTTTTATCGTCAAAAGTAAAATTTTACTCTGATTCACAATTATTCTGAAATTTTAGTATTTAAATAGTAAAATATTATCACCATCACTAAACACCATAGTCACTATAATTGTTACCGCCACAAGTAGAAATATTAAATAAAAAATTTATGAAAACAATGAAATGATAATGTTAATAGGGTAAAATTTTATTTTGATTTAAGGCAAAGTCAACAAACAAAAGACAAATTACATATTATTATAGCAAACCAGAGTAACTTGTCACTTTAAAACATAGCATATCAGCCAATAAAACATAAGCCACATATTACCAAAATAAACAAAAGTGAAATTAATACAACAACAAACAAAAACATCGTTATTTAATCAAACCCAATAAAAATAATCATAACAAACAAAATACACATTATTCAATTTTCAATCCTACTGAAAAAACTTTCAACAATTATTCATTTTTTTCATCAAAAAAAAAACAAATGAAATACACATCTCTTATACGGCTCAATCGCAAGTTTCAATCCAAACATTCATTGAAACATAGGAATTATAGAAGTTCTACAACTCGATTATGGAATCATCTTTTGTAATTTTGTAAGAATTTTTAACTTTCAATATTAAAGACGATATATATAAATATATATGGAGAGAGAAAGAGTATCACGTTAATAGTTGAAATATGAAGAGAAAAGTAATGGAAGATAATGGCAAAGGTGACTAAAATAAAAAAATATATATGTTTTTTTATGTACGTAATCTATAATAAATTGGGCCGAGTTGGGTGGTGGGCCGTTCTGTGAGCCACAGTAAAAAGGGCTGAGTAAAAGAGTTTTGTAGTTAGCCCGGTCCAAAAGAGCCTTGTAGTTAGCCCGGTCCAAAAGAGCCTTGCAGATAACCCGATCCGAAAGAGCTTGGTGGTTAGCTCGATCACCACAGTCGGCGCGATGACAATTAGCTCGGTCAAACCATCTTGAGCTGAGGTATTTTTGGCTTCTACTCAGGACCTTGCTGTTGAGAAGCTCGGTCCAAGTACGCTATGGTTAGCACGGTCTACAGGCAAAGCCGAGGTACATGTTACACATAAAGTGCCGGGATAAATGTAACATGAGTATTGTTAGCTTGGTTACATTGTTATTGTGCCATGGCAATGCTAGCATGGTCGTTTGGACATACCACCGAGCTAGGACCATCTCACTTGGTTTAAGCAGTGAGGGAGGTGTTGAAGGATAAGCATTATTTTTCAGGAGTGTGATTCCTAGGAGGACTCTACATAGAGAAATAAGAGTCCTACTAGGATTGTGCCACACGGAACCTATAAAAGCTCACAACATCACCTATGGAGAGGTAACACAACTTTGATTCTCGAATACACAGGGCTTTTGTCTATTTTGCTGACTTAGGCATCGGAGAGTTATCCGCCACACACCCCCCGGCTAGCTCACGTTTGTGTTTGCAGAGAGTAAAGCGACGACGTTTGGAAGAGCTCTGACTTGATCAACAGGATTATACGAGAAGATTATTTCTTGCTCGTACAATTGGCGCCGTCTGTGGGAAATCACAGAAAGAACAAAACCTCTTGATCAAAGTTTTCCTCGCTAGATTAGACGCAATGGCGCACAATGAGGATTTTCCGCAGTCCGCCATTGACGGACAAACCCCGGAGGGAGGTGGGAGGCGCGAAGGTTTGCCTTCCATCCCTCCCATGGCAGATTTAGAGCCCCAGTGACAGAACCCCCGGAGGAATGCAAGGAGGAGGCGGGTAACAACCCCCGTTGCTCATTAAGTCCTGATAGGCAGAAGCGGAGGATCGACCCTCAAGTTTTGGAGGATCGGGTAAAGGAGCAGGACGAGTTAATCAAGAAGATGGCAGCAGATATGGAATTGATGAAGCGCCAGATAAAAGGGAAGTGGGTGGCGACAGGAGTGGGGCGCAAGAGCAATACGCCTCCTCGCCACTCAGAAGATCGTGGTAGGCATACCACGCCATCCCAAACAGAGAGTAAAAGCCTCAGGACAGGCGACACTCAATCAAGGACTTCCAGAACTTGTTACTCCAGGTCTGAGAGAACGAGATCATTGAGGTCTTATACTGAGGGAAGTACCTATCGGCCCTCGCATACACACCGGACATCATCTAGGCAAATAGAGTTGCCTAGATCGTCTGACTTACGGACTGTGCTTGAAGAAAGGGCACGACGGAAGGAGGATGTCAGGGCACGCGACCCGTACAGAATTTCAGCCCTTCAGCGGTTAGCTCCTTCGGACATATGGAAGCGTCGAGGTAGGAATACCAATACCGCACCTTGCCTACGAACCAACAGATAAAGCATTGGCAAGGCTACATAGCTCGCCGTTCGTTCCGGCGATTGAGAACGCACCCTTACCTTCAAGTTTCATCCAGCCTAAATTTACGACTTATGAGGGGAAGACAGACCCCTACTTGCACCTAAGCCACTTTCGCTAAGTCA